AAGGGTTGTAAGGTGGAAAATAATTCATCATTTAAATGACCAGAAAAAGAGGATTGGGTATCTCCAGCAGAGATATGACAGCAATGCTCCATTTTTGGTCTTACCTGACTCTTGTAAAGGTAGATCAAAGGCTGGAAAAGTCAACTATTCTAAACTAGTTATCAACCACCCCCACCTTAGCCTATTAGAGTATGAGGAAGAGAAAAGTATCAATGCGAAGTGATATCAAACTGACTCGGACGGAATTCGAACTCGGATCTCCGGTTCCATTTCATACTGTTAATCCACTCGCACATCCTGAAGCAAACAGCTGACATGGGTTTCTACAGTTAACGACATGTAATCGGTTCACGGTCGTCACGATCATATTCACTAGGCTCGTAACATATTATGGTATATTAGGCGAATTACATATACTCATAGTAGTAGTGGGTGGGTGTCGGGCGAAAAATCTGACGGTGACCATCCCTCTTCAGGTTGGTTTTGAAATCAAAGTTGTTCTTCCCATCGACAGGTTACCATCCAAGACTTTCCTGTTATTTAACCTATAGCGGGTTCATGCCTTTCCTAAGGGTATTTGTCTGAAATTTGGACACGCTCCGCCGATTTCATTGCCTTTGGTTAGTCTTTAAAAATGGTCCATGGATTTTATAAACATTTCATGTACATAGGATAAAAGGAGCAGAAGACGCATTGAATCAATTTTTACCTGATTTGTCATTGTTATTTAATCTGGTCCCCGACATATTATGTGGAAAAGAGAAAAATGAAACGCGTTAAGAGTTAATCTAAATCTTATAGACTCATGATAGTCCAAACATTAGAGATGCTATCGATTGGAGGAAGACGAAATGTATGGTTGTCAGTATGAGGAAGATACAAACAACTAATAGAAGATATGAAAAACAACGATAGAAAATGTGACACCGGAATCCGAAGTCGCATTGGAATAATGAAAGATGTTTTTCAAAAGTTAAACAAAGTATTAAGAAACAGGAAAAGTTCATTAGAAACAGAAAAAGTTCATTAGAAACAGAAATTGTTGGTTGATTTTTATTCTCTATGGGTCATTTCATATCGAACTCTAAATATTTTGCACGTAATTTCATGCTTTCAATTACAGATATTTTGTAGATAATTTTATATTTTCAGAGTAAAGATATGTCTTTTAGATATATAGTTTGTAGATCATAAAATATATTGTTGATAATTTTAATATAAAAATATTTTTTAGTGTTGCATTGTCATTTCGCTCTAAAAATATATTATTGCCCATTTTATTATAAAAATGAACTGTTGATTTTTGTTATATGATATTAGTCATAGCTGTGACCTTAACAAGTGCTACCACCCCGGGTCAGGGTAGAGCTGGAAACAACAGCAATTAAGGGGTGGTTCTACGCTACTCAAAATCTCCAAAATCCCGCTCGGAGGATGTAGTTTATGGTGATACCCAGGACGAGAAAGAAAGAAAAGGGTGCTGAACAGCTACTCTATATCAATCATCCTATATGCCGAATGAATGCTGAGAAATAACCTCAGAGATGAAGAGGAGATATGAGGAATCAAAGATGTGGTTCTACAGAAAAATGCAAAGAATACAACAAAAAGAACATGACAAGAACAAAGACGTTTTAAAGAAAACGGAAACAAAAACGACACTTATACTTAGAATTAAAAAAAAGACTTTTGGAATTACTGGGGTACATAACGAGGAAAGAATGCTTGGAGAATTTGACCATATTTTCTGCCTGGTGGTTGGCACGCGCAGGAAACTAGCATCATTTGATAAAAAACAGTTATAATTCTGATATATATATATATATATATATATATATATATATATATATATAAGAAATATATATATTTAAATATAGTTTTATTTATTTAGAGATGGGATAAAGTGATCAATATCAGAGATAGAGCGTATGCGAATATAAAAGTAAACATTGAAGTCAACACTCAGAGGCGACAGGCTGTTTCATGATAGACGCAATCTTCAGGCCGACTGCGTCTAGCATGAAACAGCCTGTCGCCTCTGAATGTTGATTTCAATGTTCACTTTTATATTTAAACATATACTGTTAAATATAACAGACAACGTTTGATCATGAGCCGTTCCAGACTTCGTATGGTTGCTTTAATTTCGGATGAAAATAAAGACAAAAATTGTCCAACATGTGGATATATTTTTCTTAAGCTGTTTGTTGAGCCATCTTCAGAGTGGTTATATGGACATTTAAACAATGATATTCACCATCAAATATGATATTCTGTTATGTTGACATAGAATATTGCTATGTGGCGATAGCGGTCGCGGAATAGCAGACGCAGGTCGTAAATTTATGATGCGGTTCTATGGCGTCAAGGAGATAAAAAAATATCCAAATGTTGGACAATCTTTGTCTTTTTTTACCCGAAATTAAAGCAAATATACGAAGTTAAGAACGGCTCCTGATCAAACCTCGACATTAATTGTTTGTTATATTTAACAATATAAATTTTAATTGACCGGAATTATTTTTTAATTCCTAAAAATCACTGATTTTAGCTATATTTTTAAAAAAATCTCTCACCACCACGTAATCCTCTTAATTAAAATGTGTTTTTTAAAAATAAAATATACATTTTCTTTATTTTAAGAAGATTAGTTGATTTAAATTTGAATTAATCTGATTTCAAACATTTATGTACTTACTTTTCTTTTAAATATCGCAGAAAACCATTTTTGAACACGGAGGTAGGTGTCTTATGAGGTGTTGATAACTATCTCGATAGATTTATGCCTGGAAACTTTTTCTATGCGGGTTATATCAGTAATAATTTCTTGAGGAATATAACGTGGGCGCCTTTTTTATATATAATTTTTAACGACCCAATAATCTTAAATATTTAAGAAAATATTCTAAGTAATTTAATGTTTTATTGAATTTTAGATACTTTGATTTGAAATTTACTATAGTAACCGCTTTTACTTTCTGATAATGTCGTATTTATAATGTCGTCTGCGTTTAGAGAAATCGGCACTCACACACAAAAAATTTATTTTAAAATACTGGGTATCGCTGATTTACATAGTCCATTTATGATTAGTAAATATAGTTTTTAATTAATAACAATATTATTACCCAATCGCTATAAATTAATACAGAATTTTAAAATATTCAAAACTTTATAAATTATTCTAATTAAAAGTTTTAAAAAAATGAAAACAATTCTTGTAAAAATTCATTATTTACCGAAAAATGTTTTTTTTTATTTATTAATATAATATTGTCTATAATATATGTTATTCCTAAAAGCATCTGAAAGCTTTTCTAGTTAAATAATATCATAGTTTTGTTGATTTTTTAATTTTACGATTCACAGCAGATTTTCTGTAAATGGGGGTCCTGTTTTACAAAAGAATTTGATGTTTTAAATCCACCCCCCCCAAAAAAAAATTTGCTTATAATTATCTAAACATCATCCTCTACAAAAATGAATTTCTCGAAATTACATAAAATTAAATAAGTGAGAGAAAACAGCTATAAAAAGAAAAATTAATGAGATTTTCTAAAAAAAGAAACATTTCTAAAATAATTTAAATCATTTGTGAATAAATCCTGAAAGTTTCATTAAAATCCGAAAATTATTTTATTTTTGCAAGAATTTCCAAATCAGTGTGTTTTTCTCAGAAAATGAAAAAAAAAAAAACGCTAAAATTTTTCATGCTAATTTATGGTCAACCGCTGACACTAGAAAAAAAAATGAACCAAAATTTGAAAGGTTCTAAAATGGATAAAAATAAATATAATTTCAAAATCAAAATTCCCCTTGGTATTTCCTCTTGATAATGACGTAAAGATTTTGACGATATAACTTTGTTCTTATTAAGTTTGTGACATTTTTTCACCATATATGCTTATTTTTGGCGGCGGACACTTATTTACACACACACACACACACACACACACACACACACACATATATATATATATATATATATATATATATATATATATATATATATATATGAATAAAAAAGACAAGAAGGAAAACTATCCTTAGTCAACACGTTTCGTCCTCTGAGGGATTTAGAATATTGCCTTCATAAAGTTCCTCAAAAACGAAATACGTCGGCTAAGGATAGCTTTTCCTCTTGTCTTTTATTCATTTTATATATATATATATATATATATATATATATATATATATATATATATATATATATATCGAAATATCACACTCTATCCAAATACATATATATATATATATATATATATATATATATATATAATAATAATAATAATAATAATAATAATAATAATAATTAAACACTAATATTCAGGACATTATTTATTCCATTGGAATCATAAATACATATTCATCGACCTACAAATTCAAAATCAAGATTTGAATTTGTAGGTCTGATGAATTGATCGTATTTACGATTCCAATGGAATAAATTATGACCATGGAATATTAGTGTTTAAGCCTTTTTATTATATCATTACTCTGTCCTAGACATTGAGTTCTACCTGATTCTTCCTCTTGGAAAATTTTTTTCTGAAAATATACATGTATGGGTATTTTTTATATATTTTGCATATGTATGTATATTTTCCACTAATATTATATATATATATATATATATATATATAAATCTAATGATATACATTTGATGAATCATTAGTTGAATATAATTATATTTTTCCTAAATATTATTGTCAAATTATGGGTGGTGCGTGTTATTTGGTGAGCAATACGGTATCTTTTGCTCATTTTTTTATATTTATTTAGAAAAAAAATAACATTTTCCGAGGTTTTAATAGAAGAAATAATTGTTTGACTTTCCGTTTCTTTGCACTCTTAAGTGCGTTGGCTTCATAAAGGAATCATGCACAAGAGACACACTCTATGAGACTTTATTTGGTAATATTGGAAGTTCCAAGCAAAGGTGTCCGTCCCCGGGAGTTACGAAGAGCAGAGATAGTGAGTAATTTGTAAACAACGCTTACATCCCGAAGTTATCAACAGAGAAAATGTCAAACATTTCAAACGGAGAGCTAAAGAATAAAGAGACAGAAAAGAAAGAAAGAAAGAAAGAAAGAAAGAAAGAAAGAAAGAAAGAAAGAAAGAAAGAAAGAAAGAAAGAAAGATGGTAGACAGGAAAGGAAAAGAAAGAAAAAAGAAAGTAAAGAAAGAAGGGAAAAAGGAAAAGAAAGAAAGATCGTAGGCAGGAAATGAAAGGAAATGAAAGAAAAAAGAAAAAAAAGAAAGAAGGGGAAAGAGAAAAGAAAGAAAGAAAAGAAAGAAGGGGAAAGGAAAATAGACAAAGATGGTAGGCAGGAAATGAAGGGAAAAGAAATAGAGTGACAGAAAAATCTCTTATAGATAGATAGATAGATAGATAGATCCAAACCGATATGTGTGTGTGTGTGTGTGTGTGTGTGTGTGTGTGTGTGTGTGTGTGTGTGTGTGTGTGTGTGTGTGTGTGCAGAGAGAGACAGACAGAGAGACAGGGAGAAATATGTTCCTATTTATCTCACTCTTTTAAAAAAAATTATAAACATTAATCTGCTGACAAATTTTATTTGTATTATTCCTACACACACACACATACATACACACACGCACACACACACACACATATATAGATAGATAGATAGATAGATAGATAGATAGATAGATAGATAGATAGATAGTGAGAGAGAGAGAAAGAGAGAGAATGTGAAAGAGCCGGAACAGAGTGAGATAGACAAATAAACAAATATGAAGATAGATAGATAGATAGATAGATAGATAGATAGATAGATAGATAGATAGATAGATAAAAGAAATTAAATGTATATGTCAGCAAATAAAGTAGGAAAAATGAATAGAAAGCAGAAAGCAAAAAAAAAAAAGACAAATGAATGGCTGAAAGAAAAACGACAAAAAGATGAACGAAAGACAAAGTACGTTAAAGAAAAGAGAGACTTAATGAAAGCAGTGAGAGAAAAGGAAGACAGAAGTGTAAGATTTCGTAAACAGATAAAGAAAAGAGCGATAATGCGTAGAGAAACAATAAATAAAATAACGGCGTAAGATTCGAGTCATAACTGACTGGTAGTAATTAAAAAGAAGCCACAAAAAAAAAAAAAAAAATAACATGGAGGTGAATTATTCTTTTTTGTTATGAAAATGTAATCTTCACATGTAATTTTCGAAATTTCAAAACAAAACTTAAATTGAATCCATGTGCCGTCAGCTTTTATCTTCCATCTTTTATTTGATTTTTCTATTTTATTTAATTTATTTTTCGCCATGAGTTTAACAGGACTGAAATGGATACTTTCAGATTAACACAATATTAAACATAAGAAAAACTTAGAGAGGAGAAAAAAAATTTTTTTTTTCATTCGGGTGCCAATCTGTCGGGTATGCCGAGTACAAGGCTTTCATGACCGGGGAGTGGGGAAGGACTCCTCCTTCCAAAAATTTCAGACAAAATATTAAGTATCTTGACAGACATAGGCAATGGAATCGTCCTGTAAACATTTTGGTCCGTTGAGGAGGTGGAGCCCGCTAATGGCGGACAGACGTTGTCTGACAATGACATTTTCTAATTATTATCTATTTTAATGCCAGATGTAAACATTTTGGAAGGAAAATATTTTAGAATTTTAAGAATAACAAATAATATGCCACAAGCTAAAAAAAATGATTACCAAAAAAAAAAGTGCTTGGAGGCGATATGCTGTATTCATGAAAAATCGTATGAAACTCGAAAAATCTGTGGAGTTCATTTTAGAAGATAATGAAGTCATTGATATTTAATAAGCTTAACTGAGTTTGGCACAATGCCAAGTGGAGGAATATAGAAGACAATCTTTTGCCAATATTCTAAGTGAGAGAAGGATGGCTGGCCTTGAAAATCTGGTCTCTTTTAAGCTAAGCTTAGAATGATGGAAATGAAAGTAAAGGAAAGAATTTCGTTTTTTTATCATTTCACTCCAAGCAAGGCAATAAAGCCACTAGGATGCAAGGGGGTTGCTGAGTGTTAGAAACTATGAGAAAAAACACTATTAAGGAAAGAGAACAAAAAAAAGTCTAGAATTAAGAAGATGGAAGATAATGATTGACATTGCATTTAAATTTTTGAAGATCAAAGTGGACTAGAGCAAGAAAAGAGTTCCACAAGCGAGAATTGCGAAAGAAGAAACTGTTAGCATAGAACTTACGGTTGCATCTAAACATTTCAATTGTAAAAAAGATGAAACCTTTCATAAAGTCTAGATACCAAAGAGGAAAATTACCATGAAAGTATTTATAGAAAATGTAAAAGGAAGTTATATGGTCGCGTTCACATTCTGACTATGAGACCCGGTGTCGATTCTCACCATGGTCGATTTGTCAGGAAGGAGACTTCTTGATATTATCAGACTGGAGGGTTCGATCCCAGCGTGTGGCACCTTTAGAAAGTACCTGAAACCATACCACGGGTTTACCCAAGCCTTGTGAGTGAAATTGAGCAGACGAAACCTTTGGGCGGCCGTCGATAGCTATGGTAGCACGAAGTCACAAGTCATCGTGGCCGAGGGTTTGAGCGTGCTTGCCTTGTTCAAATTGTTGATCACCCTAGATAACACGCTATGTCCCAGAAACTGTAACTAAGGTCTGCGCAGCATAATTATAAACCACAGGTGGGGCTCTACGGGTGTTGAATAAACACAAATGCGCCTGAGAAAGCGTCTGCAATAGAGATTGGCTAACCACCCTAGTAGACGGTGTATCATCGAATACGAGTGGCCAGCTATACATACACAAGGATGCTACATTCTGACTGTTAGAAAGTGATTGAAGATGTAATGTCAGTTCAGGACCGATTCCACTGGTGTTTCTTCTTTGTATTTTAACCAGACTTGAATGCTAATGAGTGGGTCAGTCGCTAAATATTACGACTTACAAGTGCATGGTACCGTTTCCTATTGGGAATATAATTTTCCCAGATAGAATGTAACTGCAGCTCGCAGTTCGCAATTTGGGAAAACCAAATTCGCTTGAATATTTTCTCGACTGAGACATACACGAATCCGGTCTGTTTGAATCTGGAGTCCTAAACATGGCTTCTCCAGACAGAGAAATATCTCCATTTTATATGTAACGCTTCCTTTTCGTTTCCCCTTACACTCTGCTTTGCCATATACATATATACATACATACATATATATATATATATATATATATATATATATATATATATAAGAAATGGACAAAGTCCGACAATTTATTTATTAAAGATATGAAACGAGATTCATTGAAGATTGAAGTTTATAAGCAGTAAATTCGACCTTGTCTACCGAACGCTTCTTTGTGGCCGATCGGTAAGGCACGTCAGCGTAAATGACGGTTCCGTATAGGATGCAGGTTCGAATTCTGTCAAAGAACGAATATTTTCTATGAAAATTTCTCGGACATTCAGGCCGGTAAATGTTATTTAATACTGTTTGTTATAAACAGAGCATTTACTTAAATACTTGTATCTATAAAAAGAACGTTAAACATAAAAAAATGTCTTTAATATATATATATATACATTATAAATTAAAAGCACTACTTCTGTTTCATTTTCAAGCATTGAAAATGAAACAGTGCTTTTAATTTAATTATATAATTGAAATTTGAAGTTGTTAGTTTCGGTTTTTGAAACATGGTAATTCCTGTGTAGCAATGGAACCATATTTTTAAATCAGCTAATTTATAATATATATGCTCTGTAAATTTTCATTGAGCAGTTTTGTAAATATAAAATTATCAATAAGAACATCGGATTATATATCTTACTGTTCTTTTTTTACTATTATATATATATATATATATATATATATATATATATATATATATATATATATATATATATATCCGTGTATACATATATACATATGTCCCACGCGGACAAGGGTATATATGTCTATCTAGTTTTGTGTATGTCTTAGTAGTATAAAAGTCTCTCTGAAAACAAAATATGTTTGTCATTCCTTTTCCTTCCAGCCATTCCGTTCCGTCCATACAATATGGTGTCATCATATCATGGATATAATAATACCCATAGCGGGGGGAAACGTAAATAGAAGAATAAATCTTCCATAGCTCTTTCCCTTTACAGCGACGACAAATTTGTCCTTAACTACATTAAACTAAGCTTAGTATAAACTACCTCTGTAGCTGTAGCAGTTGTATACGCATTGCATGCACTAAATTGTATACACATTTCATACCTTCGTAGACATATTTCATACCCTAAATGTAACAACTATTATCAGACGAGGTGAATATTGGGTTTTTCCCTTTTCGTTTTCTCCAAAACATTTTTCGCTTCACATTGTTGTAAACAATCAATTTTTCATCATCTGTGATCGTTCCTTTCAACAAATGCCACATTTTTTTTCTTACGTTTAAGCAGAAAATAGCAGAAAGAGTTCGGTTCCTTAATTTTTTTCTGTTAAATCTGGAGACGCTGAAATATCGAAATGATTCACATATTCAAGCGTTTTCAAATGGCCAACAGCGCGCATATGAGATAAGTGGAGTATCTCAGCGAGGTCCGTATCTTTTAATTTGGAATTTTTTCATCAGTGTTTTGATTATGTCATCAGCAATGACTGCAGCACCGTCGGAACGATCTAGGTCTTTCTCATAAAATGTCTACTTTTGAACCTAATGAACTGCTTATGAATAATCTCCAGCCATGGTACCATCCCCATATTTATTTTTGATCATTTGTACAGCATTTTCCATTTCCGGTAATAAAAAAAATCATGGCTTACGACCATATCACTTTGAAACACCGGTTCTCGTACGATCACCGACGTTAAGCAACATTGAGCTTGGTCAGTACCTAGATGGGTGATCGCTTGTGTTTGATAAGCCGTAAAAAGCAAATCAATCTAATAGAGAAAATGCATCATATTTCCTTCCATTTTCACTTTAACCAAAAACATTTAAAATTTACAGTACCTTACAGAAAGGAGCATTCATATATATATATATATATATATATATGTATGTATGTGTATGTATAAGTATGTATGTATGTATGAATGTATACATGGGGCATATGTATGCGTGTATATGTATGTGAAAAGTGTGTGTATATGAATATAGATGAATATGTGTATGTGTGGATATGTGAATATATTTTTAGGTTTTATATATATATATATATATATATATATATATATATATATATATATATATGTGTGTGTGTGTGTATGTATGTGCATGTGTATGTACACGTATGTCTGGGTGTGTGTGTGAGTACATGCCTAAGTGTATGTACCTACTTGTATATGTTTTTTTTGTGTGTATTAGTATGTGTTTTTGAACATAGAAATATTTGGTCCTTGCGAAATGAGACAATCGTTATATTCATCTTCATATATTTATATTTGATTTATAACCTGTAGTCTATACTAATTTTCCCAATTACAAAGCGGCCCTTTAAGTAAACACAATTTTATTTTCCTTCGTCCCATCTCTCCCCCCCACCCTTTCTTTTTTTTTTCCCTTCCTATCCGAATTGTCTGTGGTGTGTATATGTCACCACGAAATGTATCTTTATGTATTAGACATCCGTCGACTTTCTTTCTCTCCTTTTTTTAAATCCACCCCACCCACATCTCCAAAAATTCTCTCTGTTAAGGTTTCATGTCACTCCTCCTCATACTTACATTTTCTCTAAATTCTGTTTTGATTTCCGGAGTTGTTTTTTTCTGTTTTCATTTTGAATGTGTAGGTCTGATGAATTGGATCGTATTTACGATTCCAATGGAATAAATTATGACCATGGAATATTAGTGTTTAAACCTTTTTATTATATCCTTACTCTGTCCTAGACATTGAGTTCTACCTGGATCCTTCCTCTTGGAAAATTTTTTTCTGAAAATATTCATGTATGGGAATTTTTAGATATATTTTTCATATGTATGTATATTTTCCACTAATATTATCTATCTATATATATATATATATATATATATATATATATATATATATATATATATATTATATAAAGGCTCAAACACTAAAATTCAATGGTTATAATTTATTACATTCGAATCGTAATCAACTCCGCAGTTATATTTTCCGATTTCTTTTTGAATTTGTAGGTCTGATGAATTAGATCGTGAATACGATTCCAATGTAATAAATTATAACTATAGAATATTAGTGTTTCTTACTCTGTCCTGGACATTGAGTTCTACCTGGATTCTATCCTTTTAGGAATTTATATATATATATATATATATATATATATATATATATATTGTCCAATGTTAAAAGCTCCAAGTCCAAAGAAAAAAAAACAAAACGAGTAAAAGATAACTACGGAAAGTGCACAATACACTAAGTAGAGCAAACCTAAGATATGATAATCCTCATGGGCCAGGCAAACCTACCAAAGTTTCACCTAAACGGATCTTCAGATGTAGATGCCATATATATATATATATATATATATATATATATATATATATATATATATGTCATATCTATCTATCTATCTATCTATCTATCTATATATATATATATATATATATATATATATATATATATATATATAGAGAGAGAGGGGGGGAACAGATAGATAGATAGATAGATAGATAGATAGATAGATAGATAGATAGATAGATAGATAGAATAAATAAATAAATAAATTTCGGTCAAGTATGAAAACAAAACTCATGTTTAAAGTCTACCTATTGAATAACGTTGCTACTGTTTATTGCTGACTGGTTAATGAATATTGAATGTTCCCTCCATGGGAACGTGTATTTTACCATTACTTTTTACAATTAATTTTACCATTAATAATTCTTAATTTTTCCAGTAATATCTTTAATAATTTTACCCTTAATAATTTTTAATTTTACCATTAATTTCTTGAATGATTTTACCCTTAATAATTTTTTAATTTCACCATTAATAATTTTTAATTTTACAATTAATTATTTTTAATTTTACCATTACATTTTTTAATGAATGTCGAACATTTCCTAGATGGAAACGGCTATATTCCCATTACTGCTTATTCATATTTTGCCTTATAATCGTAAATTACGCTATAGAAATTTAACAGCTGCTGTCAGTTTAATCCAATGAATATTTTGCAATATTTTCCATTCTCTGTTCTGTTTTTACGTTCTCCAAACATTGAATTCAACGAAATGAGAAAGTTTCTGATTTTTTTCCAGTTTTTATAGTCCCTAATTCTTGTTTAGTATGACATAAGACCAAATGCACAAAGAAAATTGTAAGATTTTTGCATACCAATGAAACGTTGCCTGAGTTTGAACCTTAACCTCTTCCGCCGGTGAAAATATGGAATAATCTCAGTCAAAAGGACGTCCAAAGTTTTGAAACATTTTAATTTCGTAATTGTTTAATCTATGATAGTGTCGAATATATCGCCTAGGGGTAGTGACAGGTAACGAACTAGTAATGCCGACTACAGTAAATGATAGCAAGAAAAGTGACATCTTTACCAGATGAGCATCGACATCCTCTCCACTTTTACGACTGACATATTTTGATGCAGAACTTGAGAAATATGATCTGAGATATGTCTTTACAAATGCTGATTTACGATGTCTACAGAGGAGAGCACGCTTGTATGCACACCCGGTGGGAACGGAAGCGTCGTGAGCAAGCGAGTGATCAGACACATGTACTGATATAGTAGGATATGGGTGTGGTTAACCCTGCAGTGTGCATGTCGGTTCAAGTGTCTGTCCCTGAACCATCAGAGCGGGTAGACCGTGTTTTGAATGGTCAGACGGTTCTTTCATTTCAGACTGTTACGTCGAACTGGATACTTGGAATGGTCAATGAAGATTTGTGCGACGATGTGGGAAAGAATGGAACAAGGAAGAAAAGAAGGAAGGAAAAAAAAAAGAAAGTAAATAAATAAAAGAAACAAAGAAAGGAGGAAAAATGTCAGTGAAAAAGAAGAGGAACGGAGAGAGTAAGAAAAGAAGGTAAATGACGATAAATATACAAAGGATTAAGAAAGAAAGAAAGAAAGAAAGAAAGAAAGAAAGAAAGAAAGAAAGAAAGAAAGAAAGAAAAAAAAATATAAGTGAAAAAGAAATGGAAGTAGAGTGTAAGAAAAGAAGGTGAATAACGAAAATATACGAAGGATTAAGAAAAAAAGGAACAAAGAAAAAAAGAAAAACAAAAAAAACAAAGAAGGACAGAAATAAAAAAAAAATTAACGAAAGTAAAAAAAAGAAGAATGAAAGAAACAAAAATGGAAGGAAAGAAAGATAGAATAACAGGACAAAACGAAAGAAAGAAAGAAAGAAAGAAAGAAACAAACAAAGAAAGAAAGAAAGAAAAAAGAAAGAAAAATGTAAGTTCAAAACTAGAGTGATAGAGAGAGTAAGAAAAGAAGATAAATGACGAAAATATACAAAGGATTAAGAAAGAAAGAAAGAAAGAAAGAAAGAAAGAAAGAAAGAAAGAAAAATATAAGTGAAAAAGAAATGGAAGTAGAGTGTAAGAAAAGAAGGTGAATAACGAAAATATACGAAGGATTAAGAAAAAAAGGAACAATGAAAGAAAGGAAAACAAACAAAGAAGGACAGAAATAAAAAAAAATTAACGAAAGTAAAAAAAAGAAGAATGAAAGAAACAAAAATGGAAGGAAAGAAAGATAGAATAACAGGACAAAACGAAAGAAAGAAAGAAAGAAAGAAAGAAAGAAAGAAAAATGTAAGTTCAAAACTAGAGTGATAGAGAGAGTAAGAAAAGAAGGTAAATGACGAAAATCTACATAGGAATAAGAAATAAATAAAGAAACAAACAAACAAACAAACAAAGATAGACAGAACAAAAGAAAGAAAACACCAAAACGAAAATAAACGGAAGCAAAGAAAAAAAAAAGAATTAAATAAAAACGATAGAAAGAATGACAAAAAGAAAGAAAAAAAACCGGAAAAAAAGACCGAAAGAAATAAGAAGGAACGAAAGAAGAAAAAAAAAAGAAAGAAAGAAGCAAAAAAGAAGAAGAAATCCTAGTAGAAATAGAAGAAAACACGGAGACACTGTCATATAAACGGCTCACCCTTTCATAAAACCCCCTCCAAATATCACCATGTCCCTTATACTCTAATGGTCGAGCTTACTAGGATTAGGTTAACACCTAAGCATCACTGATTGGGACACTATTCTCCTGATGACCCCCAACATTATATACAAGGGTTGCTAAAATATTACGAAACAATCAAATCTTTAAAAAAGATGAATGAACATTTGGTATGATTTAAGGTCAAGCAGAGAACCTTTCATCATTTTCTCATAAACGAAACTGTTATAAGAATAAAATCTCTCCGACTTACGTGGCCATGTGCCAGACTAAAACAAATCAAAATCTGTCGTCTTAAATTATAATCCCAGTAAATATGAATAGATATAATTAAGAGAATCGTTGCTAATTCCCAAGAATTTTACCAAACTTTTTACTCATTAGGAACAAAATTTTTCCTATACTGCTTTGCCATTTTCTCTTTTTGAGTCTTATTTAAATGTTTATAGTCTGTATTTCTCTGAACACAAAAACATAAATGTGTCGCATATGAGGTACTTCTGACCAATTTTTATCTTTCATGTTTAAATCAGCGGGACAATTCTTGTCATAACAGGTGCCTATTCGGTCCTGCTCGTAACAAATGCAAGCGAGTCCTCGAAGAAGCTAAGTCCCTATTTGCTGAGAGAATGGGGCACCGCATGGTCTCTAACAACTTTGGCTCTCATGACTATTGGCTGCTCTGTAATAGGGTACTAAATAAGTGCAAGGTCTCTATTCCCCCCTTTTCAATCGATTTGTGGTGTTATCATCCTCTGCTGATAAAGCTGAATGCTTTGCCCATAAATTCTTCTCAAGCTCTACTCTTGACTCATCTGGACTTTCCCTGCCTAACTTCTCACTTAGATATGCATATAACCCCTTCCATGGTCTCTGCTATCATCTCTAACCGTGATCCCCACAAAACATGTGGACCCGATGGTATCTCTGTTATAGTCATTACGAAGTGTGCTCCCGAACTGGCTCCTGTTCTCTCTAAACTGTATAATAAATGCCTCACCGCCTTCTGCTTTCCTGCCTGCTGGAAGTCATCATCTGTTGTTCCAGTTTTTAAAAACTGTCCGACGCATTTAACTATCGGCCATTTAGCCTTCTTACTCTTTTGGGGAAATTCCTAGAGGCCCTAATCAATGCTGAATTGATTCATCATCTCTCATTTCAGGGCCTGGCATTCAGGTTTTCTCCACAAGCTGAAAAGTTACGGTATCTTCACGAACATTTTTGAGCTGATCCAGTCGTTCCTGTCAAATCGTGAACTGAATGTTATCCTGAATGGCCATTCGTCTAGATCATTTCGTACTAACGCGGGTGACCCCCCCCATGGTTCCATCCTTGGTCCTACGCTGTTTTTAATCTTCATTAACGATCTTTCTCCTGTCTTGATAGTAAAGCGGGTCCAACAAGGTCAAAATGGCAGCTGATGCGCAAAACAACCTCAAGGCCGTCGTTCTGGGGCAAAAGAGGGCTTGTCAATTTTAACACCTCTGAAACTAAACTTCTCTCCATGAATCACCTGAGAGAACCCTCTCTGCCTTTCATCAGCATGACTGATGCTAGCCTCCAGTAGAGTAAATTGCTGTGCTTTCTCGGGCTAATTTTCTCAGCTGAAATGAATTGGAAAGACGACATTGAATCCATTGCTAATTCAGCTGCTAAGAAAATTTTCAATGTGTCGTGAGAGACAATTTTTCTTACTGGAATCTATCTTGCATATCTTAAGTCTACTATTCGTCCATGCTTAGAATATTACTGCTATATATGGTCCGGAACCCTTGCTATTTACCTGGAGCTCCTTGATAAGATCTAAAGAAGAATCAGCAATATTATTGGTCCTGATCTGGCGGCTCGGCTTCAGTCACTTTCACACCGCCGTATAGTTGCTTCTCTGTGCCTTTTTTAGAAATACTTTCATTGTAAATGGTACCTCGACTATATGAATTTAAGCACAATACTAGACTGACGTCGAGATTTACAGTTGAGCTGGCAAGATGGAGCCGTAACTTCTATTCTAATAGTTTCTTCTCTCGCACTACAATTTGTGGAACTCCCTTCCAGCTCCATGTTTTCTAGCCAACTTTAATCTGCAAAAATTTAAATGCAATGTCATTCGTTATCTACTGCCTTCCTGATTACTCTTTTCTCTTTCTACTCATTATTAATGTTTCTGCTCCTAGTTTCTGCACGCCTTGTAACCCCTTGCGTCTTAGTGGCTATACTGCCTTACTTGGGGCGATACTGATTAAAAAAAATCATGATCATGCCATCTAATTGCTACTATTATGGCTATAAAATGAAACAGCGTTTTGAAAGTGTAGATAAATCTTCAGTTGTACATAATAAAACCTCGATTTAAGTAATATCGGATCAAAAATGACCCTAAGTTTATCTCATCGTCGTCAGATAAAGCGAAGCACTTCGCAGTTAACTTTGCCTCTAACGTCACGTTAGATGGCATCAGGCATCCCTTTCCCAACTTCCCTTTCTCACAGAGCACAAAATTAATAATATCTCTATGCCTATCCCGAGAAGTTTCTAGACTTTTATCAAAAGTTTTGTCGTTAAGAAGGCTACCGGTCCAGATAACATTCCCCGGTGATTAT